CTATATAAGTGTAAGCTATTATTATTATTATTATTATTATTATTATTATTATTATTACCTAAGGTGTATGAGCCATACATTATGGCAAAGAACAGTAAAATGATAGTTCTACTTGGATCTGAATAGATGTCGTCAAAGATGCCCTTACTTGATGAGTCCTGGTGGGCCTAAGGGAGACTGGCAACAATCTAGGTGCGTCTGCAGAATGGCTGATGGTGTCTCCTTTAATCCTCAGGGTCTCATGACCGAGCTGTACTTCTCTATGAGTACGTGGGGAAAAGGACTGTTGATCTGCAGCACACGGAGGTCCCGGATGCTTACAGAGGAAGAGGAATTGCTAAACATCTGGCCAAGGTATGGGACTCGGAGCTATGCCTGATAGCTTTGGCAGACAGGCTTCTGTATTTACTGATTAAGAGAGAATGACACACAGTAGGCTAATCTGCAATAGACTACTTTAGGCTGTTGGGACACTACCTGGGCCAGTCTTTATTGCAGACTGAGGAAAGGCAACAGTAACAGGGGAAAAAAATCTGTCGCCCCTGGCCCCTGTGTGGTTAGACCAAGACTGATGCCGAAAATAGACAACACTTGTGTTTTGTTTTTAGGTGAATTAAAGAAGCCATCTTTGCAGTGAGTTGCATGCAGAGATATCTAGTGGAGGCACTCAAGGAGATCTGCCTTTCTGTTCAGGGTTGCTAGTTTTCTTTGGGGGGGTGTTGTCGTGGAGAAATGGAAGCACAGTGGAGCAGTGGTCAGCATGGCTGACTTGCAGTGCTGGGGTCCTGGGTTCAGTTCTGGTGCTGTCTGTGTGGAGTTTCTCTGTTCTACCTGCGTTTGCGTGGGTTTCCTCCTGGTGCTCTGGTTTCCTCCCACTGTCAAAAGACATACTGGTAGGGTAACGGCATCTGGGAAATCTGCCCGTGGTGTGAGTGTCACCCTGCATTGGAGGAAGAGATTAGAAAATGAATGGATGGAAGTAGAAAAATATGTTAACATGATACATGCACATAAGTGTGCTATAAAATGTATACGGGTGAGTAGACATGGTATCCTAAAGGGCAGCATTGCTTCCTGACGTCCTGGGAAGCAAAGTGACACATCTGATAGCTCTGCAAGGTTACCGAGAGGAAAACAAGGTCAGGGCTGAGAACAGATAATGTAAAGACTGACACCATACTGAGTCTTTGTACAAATCCTCTTTTCACTGATGTTAGCTTGACAGATTATTAAGTTAAAGACAATATTTTTTTTACAAGTTTATATCTTCTCTCTACAATGCTGCATTACATTGTAGCAGGGGAGAGACAATATATACTCATGCAGAAAAACAAAACTGTTACAAAATCATAAAACAAAACTGTATTATGTATATGTATAACCTATATGTATAACCTGTTTTGTAAGGTGTTCTTTCAATCTAGTTCTATTAAAATATTTTTCTTTTTAACTTAGTGCAGTGGCAGTACAGTAGCCTATATGGTTACTACAAGGCACAAGAATGAATTGAAATTCTTTTTTGTGGAGCGTTCTGAACCTGTAACTAGAAGGTTCAGGGTTCAAATCCCAGGTAAGACACTGGTTTTGTACCCAAATGAATTGAAATGTGGCATTTCTTTCTTTGTAAATCATAGTTTTATTGGTGTAATTAATCAGTAGTCAGCAAAACCGACAATGTTGTGAAAATTACTTCTACAGTGCTCTACTCCAGCCCTGCCAGGATCGCTGGGTGAAAACCAGTGGTCACACATTGCTTAATCCAGAGAATATTGTGACTTAGAAAAAAAGGTTACATTTTTCTGTGCTTTTTCATGATGTTTTTTCACTGTACGAAGCTGTGTGGTGTATGGTAATTCAGGTCAAACTAAATGACAGCCAATGGACGATACCTCATACCTATTCAAGCAGGATACTCCTTCAAGAGTACCATAGCCTCCAGAATTTGAGTAAAGGCTTATTGGCCCATGGGGGAAATTTGCTTTACAGCACTCTCAACATAACAACACAATGGCAGACAAAATTCTACCAAGCAAGAGGTCAATGCAACAGTGTTATAGCAAGATAAGGGAGGAGATAGTTATGAAACATTGAAAGAGATATTGCAGTGGGGATGAAAGATTTCCTGTGTCTGTTTGTGTTACACCTGGGGACACAGAGGCGTCTCCCAGATGGGAGAAGTGTGAACTCGCAGTGGAGGGGGTGAGAGACACAATTCATAACACACATGGCTTTCTTTGCCACTCTCTGTTTGTAGAGGATATCTCAGGTGATTTGATTTGCACCCCAATTCATTTGCCACTTAATTTGACTAGTTTTTCCAGCCCATTACAATCAATGGTACTGATGTAACCAAACCAGGAAATGAGACAATAATATGTTAAGACACTTTCAATAAATGAGCTGTAGTAAAATGTAAGGGTAGTTCTGTCTACCTTACAATAGCTTAGTTTCATTCATAAATGCTGTCACAGCCTTTGTCCCAACTCAAGTTTTTGTCTACGACCCGTCCCAAGTACTTGTAGGATATGAACCGGCAACCTTCCAGCCACAGGTGCAGATCCTCAGCCACAGAGCCACCCCACTGCCCAAATAACAGCCGAGACTGGCGGGACTCGAACCCGAGGCTCTGGGGTGCAGATGTGTAGGAGGCGGGGGTTCAGCTGAGTGAGCTATACCTCCTGTCAGTTAACTGCAGTGGGTTGGAGGGGGGTGGTCTGGCGTGTGGGCCCTGGTGTTTGGCTGTGGCCTTTGCCTCCTGTCCGTGTGGTGCTTGCATGTTCTCTCCTCCTCGTGTCCCTGCGGTGTTATTTGCCAGCTGTTTTAGTCTCCTCCCGCCTTCCAGAAACCCCCCACCTTCGTCTTAATTGGCCACTCTACCTCGTCTCCTCGGGATTTATGGCGCTGGCCTCCCCACCTGACCGTGAACAGAGAGGCGAGGATGCCCATCTCGGTCCTACCCCCAGTTTATAGCGCCCTGGAGCACACAGGTTGCAAAAAGAAAATGAGCAGAACGGCTACCTCAATGAGTGAAATCAGGAGTGGGAAGCCTTAGCAGTTATGGGGCGGGGAAGCAAAGAACGTTTTAGTGGTTGGCCAAGGAGAAAAAGGAATCCAGTCCATAAATATCTGTCTCCCATTCAACATTCTCCTGTGTGAAATAAAGCACAGGGCCATATGACTCCCCTAAAGTACTTGGTGAAAGCAGTGTCTTGCTAGAGCTCCTTCTCATTAGCTGAGAATTCCCTGGCTCCAAACCAGCAAGAGTGTCTCCCCCAGCCAAGCTTGCAGAGAAGCAAAATAAACTGAATGGAATGCTCGTAATTCCTTTTTTCAATACAGCCGAATACTGTGACTTGGAGCTTCTTTGATATCCAATGCGTGGAGCCCCACAGGAGAGTTACTCTGCGCGCTTTGAAGCAGGCCAGAAGAAAACCACTTCGTGCCTGCCCGCCTTTAAAGTAGTCGCTGTTTATGAAGAGCGTGCCCTTAAAAGAAAGGGACTTTGCGAGCGAATCTGGCGGGGAGCTCGCAGCTGGTTAGTGATGCTGTTCAGCCGAGAGACGTGTAGCCGTCTCGCACGTTATCAAAGCTTTTAGGAAGACATCTGCGCTTTATCTCCATTTCAAAGGCAGGGCACTGCGCTGGCAATGCTTCTCTTATCGGGAGTCATTTTGCCGATGCCGTCACTGAGCAGGGCCACACACTGCTGACAAGGGAGAGCAGACACCAGAAGCTAAAAGCTAGTTTAAGAGCTCTTCCCTGGCCACTGGTGTTTCTCAGCTGTCTCCATGGCAACGCTGTGGGCCTGTGTGGAGGCTTTGAAGTTTTGGCATAGCCACCAAAATAAAATAAACCGGACGCTTTTCAGAGGCCCAGCTACGGCATAAATTGTGTAGTGGAAGAGCAGAGTGTAAGTTCTTGGGCTTCTTAGAAGCCAGAGAATCTCTCGCTTTATACAAACATCGACGCGAAGCCTCCTATTGACAACACACTGTTTGCATAGTAACGCTGCCACCAGATGTGCCAGCTCAGTAGTGCAGAGTTCATTTTTTTCCACGTTAAAAGAATAACGCTGATAAAGCCGCTGCTGGAACAGGACGAGGGAAAAAACAATCTGTACTCCCACTGTGCTTTTTCACTTCGGGTGAAATCCCTGCAGCTTTTGAAGTGCACTCACCCAGTTTATTTACCTGGTGCATAAAACAAAGGGCTGAATTTTCTTTTTTTTTCCCTCTCCCCTCCCGTGCCAGTTCATTTTTAGGAGAGCCAGGCGGCTGGTTCCACTTTGGTGGACGGGGCTGTTGCCATTCAGTCTGAGAGCGAGCTGCTGTTCGGTCTCCGGGGACGCATTTTGTTTGCGCCTGAAAGAGAAGAAAAATCCCCTGGTTTAAGTTTTCACAGCAAAAATATCCTCCCCCCCCCCCCCCCACACCCTCGCACATTTTCCGACTTGCATTTAAAATGGGCTGAGGGAAAAAACATCTAACCATTTGTTTCAGTTTCCAAGATTCATTGTATAAATTATTGATGGCTTTTTGCACTGATACAGTAGTGTAGAAGCAGCACTGAGGCTTTTGCAGTCATAAGGTGTGTCCAACCAGGGGAAACAGTAAACACAGAAACGTCTCTGATGGACATGATGCATCTTGAGAAATCATTAGGGTGTGGTTTGACCTTATTTCTGGTGTACACTGGGTTTTTACCCTTTAACTTTCCCTGTATGACTGGGGAAGTATTATTTCTGCCTCCTACTAATCTATTAGGTGAATCTTGCTGTCTCAGAGCATGTGAGTGTCTTCACTGCATCTCAAGCAAAGAATGAGGCAAGAATGTAAAAAGTAAAGTCGGGCCTTGACTCTAGATTCAAGGAACTGCAATAAATTCAGAACTACCTTGCATGTTTTGCTCTTTAAAGCAGTTTCAGCATGACTGAAATTTGAAATTCTCCTTACGTCAATCTGTGTTTATGATCTGTTTAATCTTTTTGCCGTTGTTGTTGTTGTACTTCAGTGTGCTTGACGGTAATAAATGAATGGACAAATCAATAGGACAAACATTGGATGAACCCAGGACCCTGTGACAGCTAACTTGATTGAAACTGGAAACAAGGTTTATTTAACTCTGCGGCCCATTATGTGCAAGGAAAAACAGGCTAGTTCTCAGCTTTTCGGGTCACAAGTTGGCGTTGGCAAAACCGCTGACTGGAATAAGATGAAAACCCATTTGGAAAGATGGAATAAGGAGGTTTATATATTGTTCATTTTTTCGTGGTGGAGGCATGCTTTGTACTTGAAGATCTTCTGTGCGGTCATAAGAAAGACATTCCCTGAGCTCCGTCTGGTGTAAGAATGCTTGAAGCTCCTGCTTAATTAGCCAAGGTTCGCTGTGACGTTCAGATAAACCATTTGTTGATTTTAGATGATGTACCTTAAGAGGTGCTATATAAAATAGATTGTTCTTAGTCTTATTATTACTGGGGACTACATCACGTTTCATTTCCAAGCTTATTTCCTTGCGCCACTCTTACACAAGACACAGTGCACAAGCATGTTTGTTATCAGCGCCTTGCTTGTGTCTGGAGTGACCAGCCATGAACCTCAATGCTTACCATTTATTTCCGCAGGTAAGAGCAGGTGATAACAACGGATGATATACTTCACAGTGGTTATCCCTGAAATATCCACTGTCCATTCCAGTTTCTGCGACTAGGAAGAGTGTCGCGCACAGAAACACTTTGATCCCAAAGTAAACTCCCAATCACATTTTCTTCATGTATACGAAGCAGAAATTGTGGATCCAATAAAGCTATTCTTTCACCCATTTTCTAACCACCTCTTCCAAATTCAGGGTCACAGGGGAGAGAGAGCCTATCCTTGCAAGCAACTGGCATAAAGCAGGGTACACCCTGGACAGGACGCCACTCCATCGCAGAGCACATACCCACAGGCACAGTTTTCCCAGAAGCCCATTAATATACCAGTATGTCTGTGTAGTGGGAGGAAACTGGAGCACCTGGAGGAAACCCCTGCAAACACGGGGAGAACATCCAAGCTCCAGGCAGATAGCACCCCAGGTCTGGAATCGAACCCACGCTAACCCCCTTGCCAGCCCTCCAGTAGAGCTGTATCTGCCCAAACATTCTCTTGACAGCATTGGCTTGGCTTGAAACCAGCTTCAATTTTTCTATCCTCTTTTCTATCCTCGTGGATTAATGTGACGGTAAACTGGTTTCTCTTTTTCCCCCACCTCTCTGTTAAGGCCGCCATGGACTTTGTGGTTGAGGAGGACCTGAAGGCTCACCTGACCTGCTGGTACATCCAAAAATATGTCAAAGAAAACCCACACCCTCAGTACCTGGAGCGAATCTTGCACTGATCCTGAGAGGAAGAGAGAGGCTCTGTGTCTGTTGGGGTCAGAGGACAGGAAGTGTGAGGGGAGGGTGGGGTGGGTGGGGGAAAGGGGAGCTCAGGAGTAGGGAGCATGTTTTGGAGGACAGGTGCTTCATTTAGGATCACAGAACATCCTTCCGGATCCTATTTATCTATTTCGTCCCGCCTAAGTGGTGCTTGCACTCACACATCCAGGGAGAACGATGGAGCCGGTGGATTCCATCTTAACAAGGAAGACAAGAAGAGGGGACCCGCTTCCATCGTGATCGGGATGCTGCAGGTCTGACAGAAACGGGTGGAGCGATCTTTCTTTGTGGAACAGCCACTCCATACTGAAAAGGCCTTTCTATCTCAAACAGGAAACCCCCAGCTGGTGCTCCAACACATGTTCCCACAGGTGATGCTGGGGTTTCTTTTTGCCTTTGTGCACGATTTCAGCTGGTGAGGACTGAGTGAAAAGGCCTACATGACCCAATGACCGCGATGTCCAGGAAAGATCTGGGAAAGGTTACATGTCAAGGAGGGGACATATTTCATCCTCATTGCTTGAGATTCATCTGCTACTTGACAAGGGTTACCAGAATGAAGCTGGATGCTAGCCAGGTGGGTTGAGTTGGGCTTTCGGAAGTAAACTGTGTCTTTGGGCAGCGTATTTGGATACCTCACTCATGATGACTGAAGCTTCTAGCACTGGAGGATGGAAGAAAGTGATCTTCAGGAACTTTTATTATCCTTTTCTGTTACAATTCCAGTTGCTACGTGAATTCACAAGTGCACAAGTGAAGGCCTCAGGGAATGATCCGAGGCAGTGGAAGATATTTACAGTGCTAGCTAGAGGAACTTGACTCTGTTACATCCAGTATAACAGAATAAAGCCAACTATTTACAGCTTATGAAAGGTCAATTTAGAAAGGTCAGCGTTCATAGGAAAACTATACACTGTGACATTAAAGAGCACGATTTTTTGTAACACATGTATTGTCACGAGTCAGAAAAATGCATAGTTAATAGGCCATTAGGATAAGCAAAGGTTATACTATACATATAGTATAGGCGAACAGTATGTTGAGTTTCATTAGACAAGGGAATACCTGCAATATATGTTTTCATTATGTCAGTAAAAAAGGACAACCACACTGCAGACATCAATGAAACTGCCGAAGACTCCTTTCCTACTAAGCCTTTAGGTGTGTTTTTTTTAATAAATCAAGTGAAATCCGTTTTACGTTTTAAGTGTTTGGATTATCTCGTGTTCTGTATAGTGTATCCCAGGCAAGTAGCAAGCAGACGTTTTTTAATAAAAAAACGAAGCTACACTGCTGGTTTACACATTGTGAGAAATGGATCCCTTGCTGTGTATCCCTCTCGATATGTGTGAATTGCGTAACGTTTTATTGAACAGAAGTGTCACTAAAAATAGGGTTCTCGAGGGGTCCAGTCCAGCCAGTTGGCGGCTCTGGTCGGAGCAGAGATCTGGGTGCTTTCTTGCTGGCCACTCTTTCCTCTACTGGTGGTTTAACAGTGAGTTGGGAGTTGTGAGATGTGACTTTTTGTGATGTGGGGCTTGTAATGTTAAAAGAAGGGGATATTGACAGGGGGAAGTGTGGGTCTCCAAAGAAAATACCCTTCCCTTATGTGGGACAGTCGATTCATTGACAATCTCAAAAGGCAAGGTGGGGGGGCGCGTATATATATATATTACAGGAAATATCTGCCATTTTCAAAGAAACCAATGTAGCTGACAGATGTAGGCAAGGTGACAGATTGCTGTAAAAGCTCTGCCACAGTCGTTGTAGAGGATAGGAACCATTGTGTGCTCCCTAGAATGAGAAGTGATCTGTCTCAGATGGGTGTGGTGGTCTGATGGGGCCTGAGACTCTGAGTCAGGTACACATGGACTCTACATCTTGATTTCAAGAGTCGATAGTAACAGCCACATATTCTGATGTACTGTTGCTCCAGCTTTCCAAGAACTCCAGAACAGCTGAACTGAGAGAAATGGACAGCTCAGTGGCCTCCTAAGACAATAGCCTGGGTGGACGTCAAATGCATGGGTAGAAGCCTTTAATTTCAAAAGTCTTTCTGACCTTGCTTCATTCATGAAAGGGAGTTGTACATCAATGAGCCACAATATCTCTTGTCTAAAATATATATACTGTATGTCACCTTAAAAAAGTTTTAGACTTTCAAATAACTTGACCACACGCATTCGGTATCAGCCTGTGTCTACTTGGTATCTACCTGTGTGCGCTAAAGAGTTAATTATATAAATAACAGACAAACCTTTATATTGATCTCCAGTGTGTACCCAAAATAAATTATTTCAAATGTCAAATGACTCTCATCAATGCATTATAAAGGTGGATGTATTGGGAAATAAAGTCCACAACACCAGCCAGCATGGTGCACTTTAGATCTCATTATTTTTATTTCTTTTTTAAAACTACGAAGAATTAACAAATGTACACCAACAGGTGCCTTGGAGGAAATGGAAAACGTACGCAACAAAATCTTGTAAAATCGTGGTGAGAGGGAGTCTTCGGTTACAGTGATATCATATAACTTTCTTTAGTAGATGAAATATTAAAACGGAGGCCGATATGCTTTTCTAAGACGTGATTGTAATAAAAGGCAGATCGAAATTCTGTACACATTGTTCCAGTACATTTCAGGTAATTAAGGACTGAGTTAAGATTTTGATAGTGTTCATTTTCATTGCATACAAAAAAAAACACTTTGTAATTAAATCTCTAATCAATACGTAAGCATATTTGTTTCCAAAGACCATTAGAATGATGGTGGGTTTTCCTGATCTGACAGAAGAGTGCTTCGCAGTTATCCCCAGCCACTCAGTCAGGCTCAGCCTCTTTTGGATGAACACCCTACAATCTTTCCCCGGCAGACATGAGAGAGAACAGACTGTGGGAAGTGTGGGAAACCCAGCATTGTCCTCGCTGAGCCAATGTGTGTCACATGCACGTGCAGGGGGAAAAAACCTGTGATGCATTCATTTGTGATTACTCTTTGCACATGCGCGCAAAAAAACTTTCTGGGAGGGAGGTCCGTAATAAATCAGACATTTTAGAGTACTTTTTTTCCCCCATTTATACCCAACCTAGAATTTAGCCTAGTTCCCCAAACCCACACATCTCTTCACATTCATTTTCCATATTCTCCCAAACGTCCGCTCCCACAAAGAGAGTTGACAAACTAGACGAAAGAGGTTCAGTTGAGCCAGGGTAGGGAATCTTTAGAATTGTTGTAATTCCCACCTAGAATCTGAATAAACAGCCATTCTGAACATCATAATAGGACCTTTATGTATGCTAGGGTTCAGGAAAATGGGATCTTTAGAATTGTAAACACTTTTCTGCTCTATTTCTGTCTGGATGCAAATGATAAAAGCTTAGCATGGGTGGGACAGGGTGCTGTTTTAATTATTCAAATACCGTAGTTTTTTTCAGATTTATTATGGTAAAATTCAGTGCTTAAATCCGTAGTTCTACTGATCCAACCTTATTTTCTGGCTGTCGTTTGCCTCGTTTCTTTTTCTATCTTGGATCACCCGTAAGTAAAACTCTCAGGGCAGGAGGCATTTCTCTCAGTTCAGCTTCGCCTTATTTAACCAGATAAGTCCATTGAGACCAGCTTCCCAGTGACAAGCTGGTGATCTATTGAGATAGGAGAGCGAACACTGGAGCAGGCCGTGAGGAACAGTGCCTCAGGCACAAGAGCAGTGTCCCCCCACTGGGGCCCCAACACTTCTCCACACCGCCTCCCCTAAGTGGAAACCGGGAAATGAAAACACTCTTTCTTTGACTGTCTTTGTAATTGTTTTCAGTGATATAATTATCTGCCAATCATGCACTGCAGACTATTCCCTTTTATCCTTTGCTGCTGATTTTCATCCTCACAAAGTGGTCCCTTTGGAGATGCTGGTAATCCTGCAGTGTAGGAGCCAGAGTGTTAGGATGGATGGATGGATGGATGTTTGTCCATTATGCCTTCCGGCATTCCGTAACAGTTTATTTTTTACAGAACAGGGTTGTTCGCCTTGTGCCCAACCTCCAGCATTGAGGTCCTGGTGCCCGATGTGAGACAAGGACCTACTACCCCGAGATTATGAGTCGCATGCTCTACCAGCAGAACTAGCCGGGGCCAGGAGAGAGTCTAAAAAATGCCAGAAGCTGCTTTCCTTACTCCTTCAATAGACACAGCAGGGACTGCATTACCAGCCCATGTGGGATTAGTCGAATAGCACCCTCCTGGGTGCCCAGCATACTGTGAATCTGGTACAGCTTTCTGAAACAGATTTCTAAGATGATTTTTTAAAATCTGAATCAGAGGAGTCTTATTCCCCACGCTGCCAGCTGGCAGACGTTTTTAAAAAGAATAAATGACAAGGAAAAAGAAGATATTCAATGCTTTCAGATAAATTAGTCCTAAATCTGTCTGTATCGTGGGTGGTGTAGTGAGTATGGGGTTGGTGTCATGACTGCTAGGTTCTGCGTTTGAGTCCCCATTGCAGACACTGCTCTTGTACCTTGAGTGAGGCTGGGAATCAGCAGTTCTGGGGGTTAGTACCTGTGATGGACTGGTGTCCCATCCAGGAGGGGGGTCACATGCTCTCTAGTCCTCTTAACACCAGCGAAACTAGGATGAGCTCGGGTTCCGCGCTGCTGTGGCTCTGGTCTGGACTCTACCCTCACCTGTATAAACAAAAAAGAATGTGTGCACATTGACATCTGAAAGCATTGAGACAAAAGTGTCATGGTCATGTTCAAAAAATGCCTTTTAACATTTTTGGCTTTCTCATTTTCAAAACCTGCAGTAATTATGCAATAAACCTAAAAGGTAGTTTCACTGGCCCATTATAAAGCAAATGTATTCACTTAAAGGTCAAGTTCTTTCCCACCATAACAGCTAATTCACCTGCAATAATGTGCATCAGCAATGAATTAAACATTTACCTGCGACATTTGTTTTTACGTTTGCTGGTGGTATTTTGGGGGATTCCCAAGAAGAAGGAAAAACAGTGGAGAAGAGACTTTGATATATCCTGGTAAAAGTACTTGGAGGATTGCTACAGCAGCTCTTTTTATATGACATGGGTCCTCAGGGTCTTGTTAAGCATAAGCCAGACTTCACTTATCCTGGTGCAAATGTTAATTGATCTGTTCTGCTCTTGTGGATCTCATGTCAGCTCCTTCCACTGTCATTATTGCCATGATCCCTCTACTTTTCTTGTGTGTCCTTTTGTTTCTATAATGTTCTGTGTCTTTTATGTAGTAGAGGCCATTCAGCCCATCTAACTCATATGGTTTATGATCTGAGGTTCTGAACCAGACGTTTCTTGACAAAAGCCAGGGTACAGGCTTTGACGTCATGGCTGGGTAGCTTGTTCCACACTCCCACAACCCTTTGTGTGAAGAGGTGCCCATCCTCAGTGTTCTCTGGTTTGTGTTCAGTGGGTTGGCTTTATCAGTGCCCTTGAGCACTACGATATACTTGAATCGGATCCCCTCGTAGTCCTTTCTGTTAAAGACTAAAACAGTTACGTGCCTTTACAACTCAGGACTCATTACGCTATTGCTGTCTTTCAAGTTCCATCACTGTTCTTTAAATTAAGAAACATATTGACAATAAAGCTACGAAATTACAGGTGGAAAGTGATTTTCCTTGCCTATCCTTCCAGTTAGATCAGACTAAATGGTTTTGTCTGTTTTTTTTTCTTTTTCTGAGATGTCTTATTTACGTGTACAACTGGTATTTGCATTTTTGAATATTCCGTGGTCCTGTTTGAATGTGCAAAAATGAGTAAACCTTCTAAAAACAGACTATGTGGATTGTATTCTCTATTAAATACTGGGAGACGGTTCAAACATCGCTGAAGATCGGTTTCAGAGGATTTGTTCCTCCTATTTGCCAGTCTACAATAAAAAAGCCTATGACACATTTTCTCCTAATAATCCCAACGGTTTGTGATGGCATAAAAACTTAAACTGCCAAGATATCTTTATAATTAGAGGTATAAGTCAGGTCTAATAATCAACAAGTTATTTAAATAGAGATTTTACTCATAAGCACAATGAGAGTTCGTCCTCAGTCATTCAATTGTTTGGGAAGCCAGGTTATCTCCTATTGTACGCTGAATAATGAAGGGGTAATGAAAAATTTACTGGTATCTCCCTAGAGTCCAAAATACTTTGCAGGGGCTTTGCGAAAACAAGGCTCCTCAAGGTGAATTAGCTGAATATAAAAAATAATCTTACTGGCTACCTCTTGATTTAAAAAAAAACCAAAACAGAGCTAACATTTTTACAGACATGAACTCTGCAAATCTGGCCTTTAATTATTGGAAAAACGTTTTTTTTTTTCCAGAGGCAAATTTCACATTTTGCTGACTGACCTCAAAAAAGCCTAATCTAGAGGCAGCATTACTCGGGTGAGTGCTTTCACAGAAGAGTCAGGACGGATCCTAACGACGCACTCACACTTTGAACAGCTGTGTTGTTGTTCTCTTGCGACATGTAATTGCGGGCATAAGGCATTGATCCTGCAATGTGCTGGTTGTCAAAAACATTGACAAAATTTCAAAGGGGGGGCTTGTGCTGAAACACATCCAACAGGCCATGAGAAATGTACTCAGGGCTCCATAGCGAGGTGGAGCAGAATGAAAAAGTAAAAAGAGACCCAGTGGTCAGCACAAGCCCACAATCCTACCGCCAATTCGTTTCTGAGATTTTGAGAAACGCCGAGGGGACTGACGAACAATATACCCAGACTCAGAGGGGACATTTGTGGGTTCAAAGCCTTACACGTCCAGACGATCTAATCCTCCATCTCCTTTGCCAAAGAAATCATTGAAAATACATTTGGCACTATCGAGTACAGTCCGGGTCTCCCACACGGATAACTTTTCATGAGCCTGAACTTTGACCATGACTTTTCCTTCACAATGTTTGTGGTTTTCGCTGTTGACAGACTTGCTATCACCTTTCACAACTGACTTTTCCTCCCAATTAGCTCATAACCAACTTTGTCGCGTACAGGATCAATGGAATTATTATATTATAGCACTATACATTATTGTATTAACAGCTCAGTCACCTCAGTGATTTACTGTGACTCTAAATTGCTGAATAAAATCTGTTATGTTATTTTCAGGGTGGGCTGTAAAAGAACCTTTGCCCTTCTCAGGTCTCTAAGAAGTCCAGGTTTTCAAAAAAATATTTTGAAGTAGGCCTGTACAGTTACAATAACAAGCAGATATATGACTCAACACACAGCCCTTCTTATCCACACTACTGCTGTACATTAACACAACAAGCACCTTGAATGTTATAAAGCCTCTGCTAATTATTAAATAACCAGGAAGCCGACTGGAGAAGCAGTTTGCAACGTGTTGAACTGCGCAGGCAAAAGGCTGAGCAGTTCATTTTGCTCTGACACTGATTGACCGATGTTAAATATAACTCCAAATAAACCGGAGATGTCACCTTCAGCATTTACCCTGAAACCCATCCCCAATCAACAGAGCATGACCCCTGAAATATTACCCCTTCTAAAGGCCTGCGGGCAGGTCAAGATCCGATTTGGGAATGTTGTGAACAGAAAGCTAAATGCCTGAAAAATCAGTCACCATTAGCCTACACCGCCCCTTCAAATACTGCGGTAAGCGCCTTGAAAACTATCGTATAAAACGCAGTAAATGTTGTGTTTCTTTGGCTACATGAAGTACCACATACCAGGGAAATCAACGCATTTCAATGCAGACCGCACTCTTAAATCATAGTCCTGTGGTAAGCACTACGGTGCTAGTATAGTACTACTCAATACCGCACATCTTTCATGGAGTGAGCATTTTTAATTTGAATAGAAGCTCGGTTTCAGAATAATGTAGATCGACTCCTGCACTTTTACAGTTCAGCTCTGCACTTTGGCAGTTCATATGAATATAAAAGCCGCTTATAATTGTATAAATATCCACTAATCCACTATTTCTGATATATATTTTTTTATAATATCGCAATAACTTAAGATAATTTGCTTACTGGCATTTCGTATGAGTCAGAATACACACATATATAGTACGTTTATATACTGGGTACTGCGTGAGTTTAATTTCACGAGAGGCAAATATCGAAAGATCACTACGTTGTCCAAGTGCAAACAGCCTCTATAAG